AAAAGTGGCTACAAAGACAGTTTGAGGAAGTTATTGGGTGCATTAGAATTTGTGCTAGTGACAAGGCACAAGGGCCTGATGGGTTTTCAATGTGTTTTTATCTAGTCCCTTGGGATATTCTGAAGGAGGATATCATGAACACTAAGCAACATTTTCATGAATATCAAGTCTTTGAAAAGTGCCTCAATGCCATCTACGTTGCTCTCATCCCCATGAAAAGTGGAGTCTTTGATCTGAGCGATTTTAGGCCCATAAGCCTTACGGTGGGATATATAAGTTGGTAAATAAACACCAGATAACTTTCATAAAGAAAAGAGATCATGGATGCTGCTCCCCTTGAGTATGTGAATTTCAGATTGAGAGGAGAAGAACTGGACATCATGTGCAAGTTAGATTTAGGAAGGCTTATGATCATGTCAACTGGGATTTTCTTCCAAGTATACTCAAACAATTGGGGTTTTGAGAAAGGTGGCTGAAGGCTTCTGAGCATGTCAACTGGGATTTTCTTCTAAGTATACTCAAACAATTGGGGTTTGGATAAAGGTGGCTGAAATGGATTGTTTTTGCTTTAAAACTGTCAAGTTCTTAATTCTGGTAAATGGAGAACCTGTAGTTTTTCTTTTTCCATCTGAGGCGGGGTCTCAGACAGGGTAACCCTCTCTCACCATTTTTGTTCATGATAGCCATGGAAGGTTTTAACAATATGATGAGGCTGACAATTCAAAACAGGTGGTTGAAGGAATTCAATTTGAATATTACGGCAGGACTGGAAACATGTCATTTGCTTTATGAAAATGTGTATTGTAATCTTTTGTGAGGACAAAACAGAGTAAATTAGCTTCATCAGGGTGTTGTTTAACTTTGGAAGCAAGTCTCAGTTTTATGTGTAAATTTGAGGAAAAGCAGCCTTCTACCTATCAAGTGGCTCAGATGCGGGGACTGGCTAACATCCTGGGGTGCACAGTAGGTCAACAACTCCAATTGTTTATCTGGGCATGCCTTTGGGCACCAAATACAAGGACTTGGGATGATAGAAAAAACAGAGAAGAAGCTAGCCTGGTGAAATCTCAAAATCTTCCCTTGGGGGGAAGACACATTTATTTAGTGCTAGATTCTTACCTACTTATGTTATGTCCTTACTTCCCATCCCACCAAAAGTTTTGAAGAGGCTAAATAAACTGAGAAGTGATTTTTTTATGATCTGGAAACAAGGAGAGGAGGGGGTTTCATTTAGTTAACTGGAAAATTGCTCAACTTTCCAAGACATCATGTGGCCTTTGGTGTTAGGAATCTAAAAATACAGAATGACTGTCTTCTGATGAAATGGTTGTGGAGTTATGTGGAGGAGGATCAAACACTATAGTAGGAAGTCATACAAAGCATGTATGACCAAAGTAACTAATGGAGTACTAATGTTGTTACAAACCCCTGCGGAATTTTAGTATGGAAGACAATAAGGGCTCTCTGGCCTTAACTATCAGGTAATATCACGTACAGGGTGGGTAATGACGACAAAATTCTTTTCTGGAAAGAAGCATGGAATGGACTGTGGAGGCCTTGATGAATTCCTTCCCTGATTTATTTTCACTTTGTAGCAAACTGGAGGTCACAATAGTTGAATGTTGGTTCAATGGATGGGTATCTCATTAAGGAGACATCTGAATGACAGGGAATTAAGTAGAGTCGCACAACTTTTGTAGTAGGTCGGTGGTTTGAAAGGGATCTCTCCAGGTCCCATCACAATTAAAATAGAAACACACTGAGATTCTCAGTGAGCAAGCTATAAAAAAAAAGTGAGAACGATCAGGCTGTGGGATAAGACCATGGAAGTAGGTATAAAGAGCTTGAGGTCAAGTGTTTTTCTTAATTGTTGGTGGTCAGAAGAACTTGTCTTACACGGGAAGTATAAAAAGGAAAGGGTTCCAAATAGTATCCAGAATTTTTTATGCAATGAGGCATAGGAGACCAATAGTCATCTGTTTTTACATTGTAAAGTAACAACACAGATCTGGACCCTATTTTTGAGCCTCACAAACAGTGAAAAAACAAATGGTTAATGCCAAAACATACTGCTGATCTGTTGGTTTCTGGATCAGAAGAGGGGGGAGCAAGAGCTTAGAGAAGTGGAGAATAATCCCAGCATGCATATGTTGGACAGTTTGTAAAGAAAAGAATGAGAGATGTTTCGAGGATAAATTTTATTCTATACCAAAAGTTAAATGGAAATGTATTGCATCTTTGTTGGTATAAAAGAGGAAGTAGAACAAATAGTTGATCTTTTGGGCTCTTTGTAATAACTTTTGCTACTGTGTTTCTTTTTGGAGGTATTCAACATGTCATTAATGCTAAGGAATACAACACTACCATTTAAAAAAAAAAGGGTTTATTACATATGCGAATTTGAGTTAACATAAAATAAGAAAATATCTTAATTTGGGATTCTTAATTACGACATAGCAGTGAAGAATATTCAATACGATATTCTTCGATTATGTTTGATGTTCAAACAATATTTACTTTCAGTCTTACCACATGGAGAGGTATAGATATAGATCATCTATCTGTACCCAACTAGTTCGGAATCATTGCATTGAAGATGTTATAACTTTGAGTTCTCAACTATGACTTGAATGTTGAAATTTTACTTTAGTTACTGTAGTAATTTTTAGCATAATAAGTTGCGTAGCTTTAGGACGAATTTGAATTTTAAAGTGCTACTAGGTTTTGTTTAGATATTTTTGGTTGTTTTGTTTTAAGTTGGCTATTTGAAGTCTTCCTATGCTTAATAAACATATTGAGAGACATTTCAATTAATATTTTGAACCCTCTTTTTTTTTGTTGAGAAAGTTAAACATTTTATAGCAATACACCAATGGTGTATTTCAGTAGTAATTACATCAGGAGTATACAATAAGCAAAACCAAAAGATCTATCATTTATACCCCTCCTAAACTATCTAAAAAGTGAGTAATAGCCTCCACCTCTTTGGGGAGGACATGATTATACCAAAAATAAAGGGCTATAAGACAGTTCAACTTCAAACTCTGGAAAGGGATGCTCTTGTTTTCGAAGCATCTCTGGTTCCTTTCCTTCCAAATTGTCCACAAGATGCAAGCAGGGACAATCTTCTATCTCTCCTTGTGACCTGATGTATTCCCTTCTCTATTCCAGCATGGACCAGCTGATTCCCCTCAAATTCAAAAAGACCTGCCACAATTTCTCTGTCACTCTGCAATGGAGGAAAAGATGGTTTGTTGTCCCATCTTTTTAAAAATCCATCAATGGTACCAGTGCCTCATTGATCTTACATGATCTGAGTTCTTCCAAGGAACTATTTTCAATCATTTTTAACCCGTGCTTACAATCACCTTAACTTGCATCGCAAAAATATAGCCCAAAACTTACATTTCAAATCTTTAGCCCAAAACACAATTCGATATACAATAATATGTGTCCGGTATATAACAATATTCAAAATATTCATATTTCTTTTTTACAAAAATGTTTTATAACTTGATATACAATATTATACATCAATATATAATATTATTCGAAATTATAAGAGATATTTATGCACCCATATACAATAGTATACAATTTTAAACACTATTATTCAAATATATTCCTCTCATCAAGATCTACCATTTGGCTCTAAGTTTGGATTTTTCGGAGGTTGGGAGAGGGCGGTGGCCCCATGGCAGCCCTCTAGGGCCCTTAAGCTCCTCCTTTGGGCCAATTTAGGTAAGGATTGAAAACCTTGGATAAATTATGTAAAGTAACTTTATGGGCTGCACTAGAGTATAATTATCTCTAAAAATATCGAGACACATTTTCAATCAAATATTTTCAACCCTTTTTATTGCACCAACTTTTAAAAAAACCAACACATAATTATGAAGAATATTTTATAAAGATAATAATGACGAATAGTTTACACTAGTTTTTAATTGTTCTTTGGTTTCATCAGTATCTATATTGTCTCAATACATATGGATCTAAATATCTATAAGATTATATAGTTGGTCCCAACTAGTTTTGGATCGAGACCTTATTGTTATTATGTTAATTCAAGTGCATGGTTTCAATACCAGTTGAGGCCTGCCTCTTTTTTCTTGTTCTCTACCACTATTCATGGGCTAACCCATTCCTAATAAAAAAAAAAACTAAAAAAAAAGAAGTAAAATAAGAGAAAAGGAATCCGCTTATTTTATAATTGCTCATGTTGAGTTCAAATGTCATTTCTCAAATTGCTACCCGTGCAACACATTTTAATGAAGATTTTGGAGGAAGAAAATATAAAATGGACAGAAATAGGATTGGTGGATATAATGATCCTGAATTTGCAATTTTGCAGTCCTACACTGTTTCTATTATGCCTCTCTACCTCACACAAGGTAGGACTAAGGTCTGCGGACACCCAACCCTCGCGTGGCCCCACTTGTGGGATCTCACTGGGCATGTTGTTGTTGTTGTTCGCTATTCCTATTACTTTTTGATTTGATTTGCAATTTAGTTCGAAGAGTTCAAATTAAACCCAGGTTGTGATTGGTGGAACAGTGTTTGTTATTGTGATTTTAAGTATTGTACACAGTCAATGTCAATGTAAATAATATTTTACACTATCTGGTCATAGGATATGTATAGGCAAATTATATGTTACTTGTCGTAGCAGGTAAAGTTGATCTGATGGTGTAAATATTAAAACATTGACGGTGTATATTACTTGGACTCTGTCATTATAGTGTTTCAATTCAGCTGAATTTTGAACCATCAATTTTCTGGAATTCTGTTTCCTAAAAATAAAGTAATGTTCTGGAATCCTGATTGTCGTGTCAATTTAAGGAGAGAACTAGAAGGAGCAGCTAAGATATAATCCATGAATATGTTGTAACATCTTTTTTAGTAAACTTGATTGGTGTAGTTGTAACTTATAAGTATAACCAATTTGTTTCTGAGAAGTCACCTTATTTAGTAACTTGACATGTTTTTGGTTGTTTCAGCTTCAGTTGTTTCCAAACGACCCAGATTTGACTTTCTTTCAGGTATCAATTACGGGTTTTCCAATAACCAATGATGTGTCTCTAATAAAAAGTATTCTTCTCTTTTCCGCTGATTCATTCTTTGCCTATGATGCTATCTTTGTAGATTTTATTCCCCAGAAAGTAAGAGCTGAAGATGCTTTGGCTGAAATCCCCAAGGCTGAGGAGACATGATCATGGTGATCCGGAGTTGATGCCTTGTACAATTAATTTTTTGTTGTTCGTAGACAACCACTTGCTACACTAACTAGCTATTAAGGGCAGTGACTTAGTTTTTGATTTGCTTCATTTGATGACTGTGTTGGTATCAAGTACGTGATATATATAATGAGAGAGAAGGCTAGGGGAAGAGGGTAAAAAAAGGTGGGGTTTAGGGGCACTTGTGTTCTAATCAGTTTATTTCCTATCTGTGCAGTTTATGCCTGTAAATAAAAATGTATTGTCTCTCAAATCTTGAACATCTAGGTCGACTTACGAGTTCCGATCAGGTATTGTGTATCATAATTTCATTTGTCATGCTCTATTTAATCGTATGGAGATGATAATGTCATATTTGTCGGTAAAAACTAATTATGATGCTGTCTGTGATTCTGAAGCTTAATCCTGTGAACTTACGGTTGAGAAGTGACTTGTTTTCTGTTCTCTTCTTTTTAAGCTTCACAACAATCATAGATACTATTACCGCATGAAGAAGAGGCATATTTATTTACATGTTTGACAAGACGTTATTTTATGTTTCAATTCCAAAGCACAAGTATGTTATGTTGCAAGTTTGCAAGAAAGATTTCATTAATAGTTAAATTCTAGGATTGAGAGTATTGTTGAGCAATTGAGGGGGTTGAGATGCTCACACCTCCAGTAAACCTACGAATCTGTTTTAAAAACTAATATTCTTTTTCCTTTCTTGCACCAAGCCAAGATATGCTAGCTAATTCATTTCTAAGAAACCTAAATGACGTGGAAAAAAAAGGACAAAAATAAAGGTTATGAAGTTACCTAAATTAGTATGCTATATAATCTCCATTAACTCATCATATGCTTGCTTTTAACGATCATTAAGGTCAATGGAGGTATATAGCGCACTAATTTAGTATGCTATCTATATATCTCCTAAAAGGATCCTATCCATCTACTCCACCGGTCCTAGGGGTTAAAAAAACTGAATCAAAAAAATGTTATTGCTATTGGGTTATTGGGTTTTTAATGGTTTTATAAAAATAATAATTGGGTTATCGATTTGGTATTGGTTTTTAGTATTGGGTTATTAGGTAAATCGATAACCCATCAAGACGATTGTAAGTTACTACTATACCCTTCATAAATAGTAAATATTAATAATTTAACATAACTAGATACTATATCAGTACTCTACACTATGGTATGCACACTTCACACGTCATACTACTTCTACTTCACATCAGAAATTCCATATTATATTCTGGTTGTAACATATAATTGTAGCCTTCGTACTACATCTACTCTTATTGATGCAATTTCTCATTATATTTCTTGTTTCACTATATCAAAACATTTAGAGTTGATTTGCTTGTCTCATTCTATCGTATCAAATTGTTAGCGAAGTGAGAAATCATATATTTATTTTATGAGCATTTTCTTATTGGGTAAATCAAAAACCAAACCATTAATGACCAAAAATCGATAAAAAATATCTTATTGGTTTATTATTGGTTTAGCGTATTTAAAAACCAAAAATTGATAAACCGAACTGATAATACATAAAACCAAATCGAACCGATTGATCACACCCCTAACCGGTCCCCCCTTTAAATTTTTTTACCCAAAGAAAACGCAAAAAACAACCATTTGAGGGAGGTCCTGCAACAAGAGTTGTCAAAAAGGGCTAGCCCAGCCCCACCTGGCCCAAGCCTCGCGGGCCAAGAAATTTGAAGGGCTGGGGAGGGCCGGTCCTTCATTTGGTAGGGCCTAAAAATGCTCAACCCAACCCGATCCTAGAAGGGCCGAGGGTTGGGGCGGGCTAGCCCTTCTTTTATTCTTTTTTTTCTTTTCAAACTTATAATTCTATAACATCAAGAAAATGAGAAGATTTTCAAATCAAATATGGCAAATAATAGCGTTGTTTCAATAACACTAGGAAAAATCTAGTGTAATTAGCATGTATCTCGCATACCAGATACACGAGTGAGAAAAGAGTGACAAGCAAGATGGGAGGGAGGCGAGGGTGCGAGATTTGTATATGTATTTTAGATACATGCGAATCTACTTGGATAAAGTGTATCTAGAACAAATTAACCTAATTTTGAGTCCATATATTCCAAGATACATGTATCTGGGTACGAAGATTCATAATATTACAACATATCGTGTATTCAAATAATTAGATTATATACTAGTGAGATTATTGTAAATTACTCTTAAATAAAAAGTTTTGGTCCATGGGCCGACCCCGACCCAACCTCGATCAAGCCTCAAGGGCCAAGGGCTTATATGGACCAGGCTTATACGCCCCAATTTTAAATGGGCTTGAAAAATCTTATCACAACCCTACCCTAATAATGGATAGGGTTGGGCCGGCCCCATGGGTTAAGCCCATTTTGACGGCTCTACCTGCCACCATAAAAAGCTAGTTTCAGACAATTTGATTCAAATCAACCCTAAACAACCTTAGATTTAGGTATATATTTCCGACATGTTTTTGTTCAATGGCTTTTATATGTCACTCTAAAGCATGTTTGTTTGTTCATTAGTCTTGATTTTCGATATAATTGTAGTTTCTGTCCCCTTTCCCCTTGTTTTCAATGTTTTTTTCTTGGCATGCAGTCGCATTACCACTAGGGGCAGATCTAGAGGTTGGTAGAGTGTTCACCCGAATCCCCTAAACAAAAAATAATATTATATATAAGGTAATTTTTTTTTTATGTATATATATATAGATTTTGAATCCCCTAAACACATGTCAAGAGGTAGACAATTCCCTAGGGGGTCAAAATTTACTCTGAAGGTTCCAAGTTCAAATCCTAGGCACTATATTTTAATGTACTGCCATGCATTTTGCTCATTTTTTTTAAAAGATTAATTTTTAAACAAGTCCCTGGTTAATTGTATATTAAATGTTTCTTGTATTATTACTTGCTGATTATTTTATTACTTGTTAATTGTTCATTATAGTACATTGTCGTAGTTAATTGATAATTCCTTTTTAAGTTACATTAATTAACTAGTTGATCATATCGGATTTTTATGTGCTAATTAGATTTAGGGTGAAAAAGGTTAATTAGTTAGGGTTGATAATCATTGACGAAACTTTAAACTTAGGTATGAACCATCATACTAACAAAAAGATTTAACAAAAAGTCGTTGAAAAATGGTTAATGAACTATTTAAATCTACCATACTAACAAAAAAGACTTGAAAAAATGTTTTTGGACATACAATTTGCAATGTCCTCGAGTCATGAATAACTAACTATAAGCTTTAAACCTTCCATACTAACAAAAAAAAAGATTTAAAAAAAGTATTTAAAAAAAATTTAGAGTTGGTCTTGGAATTTCAAGATACAATTTGCACCGTCTAGTTCTACCTCTAGGATTGTTGTTGCTTATTCTTCACCTTCAATGTTGCCGTCTATTGCCTTGAGATAACTCAATAACTAGATTTGGTTTGCCTCCCATTTTTCCTTTTATACGTGTGGAATAATTAGGTTGTAGTAACTTAGAATTATTGAAGTAGGATCCTCTAAGGATATTTCTTCCTTAATAAGAGTCCTTTTAGAATTTTTTCCTTCGCGGAGATTCATTCCATCTTAGTAACTATCTCACTTGTACTTGTTTAAGTTTTATAGGCGTATCTTGTTTTTCTATAATTTGTCATCGTAAAAATGTCAAATATCAATTATGAGCCCACATATTCCATCACTTTTTCTCTTTTTGATGATGACAAACAATGACACCTTTAATCAACAACATAATGATATCTTTCGCCTTTTGCCATCATTGAAAAGAAACAAAGCAGTCGAATTAACACAACAATGGGTGCAATAATGAAGACTCATGGTCACTGAGGCTACATAGACACATACATCAAAGTGAAGAGGCACATTAATGTGAAGATTGATATTAACCAATCCAATTCTGCCTTTAGGAAGGAATGCAGGAAAGGAAAGCACTTGGAAGAGGCCGGACTTTGGCTTCAGGAAGAAAGCCCTGCACGACCTAGTAATTTACTCTAGATTCGCGCCTATGAGTGAAATAGGTTCTTTAACGAGCTCCAACAAAGCACTAAGAGCAGTAAGTAAAAGACACACAATAATTTTACGTGGAAAACATCCGGCTCAAAAGGTGTAAAAAACCACGACATGTACCCCTATAGGATTTAACTCCAACTTCACTAAATCAATGAGCCTCAACAATTTAAGATAACAGACTCTGTAACATAAGAAACTAACTCTAATTCCTAAACTTCAAGTTATGGATTCAAATTACAAGTCTTGTAATACTAAGAACTAACTTTGATTCCTAAACTTCTAAGTTATAAATTCACATTACAATTCTTGCAATCCTATGAACTAACTCTAATTCCTAAACATCAAAACAACCCTCCCAAGGTATGTGTTCCCAACTCTTCAAGTTATCCCAACATGAAGACAACACTCTTAATTCAGTTTATAACTCACTCAACTAAGATTACATCAAGACTCAATCGCAAAGAAGAACTCCTAATGCATATATAAACTTTGTAAACTGCTGGTAGCACTTGCGAAGTCAATTTTCCAATTGCCCTTTTTGCTATGTGAGTGCTTGCGTCTTCTATAGAATTTTTTCTTTTATTTATAGACTTTTGCTTTCCAAGTTGTACTTAACTTGAGTTTCTTGGTTCCAATCATCATCTGAGTCACTCCCTCGTCTACCGACTGAGGGTTTTCTCTCTCTGCCTATGAGAGCTTTCTTCCCCTCAGTGGGGATTCAATCCTTGAAGTTTTAGCGGGAGGCCAGCCCCAAATGGCTTCCCTCTCCACAATGAGGACTATGGTATGGAATTGTCGAGGCCTGGGGGGTCCTTGACAACTCCTTTTTTGAAGGAGACTATGCATCTCCACTCCCCATATATAATTTTCTTAGTGAAACCAAAAATAAGGATATTATTGTTAAGCAAGTTCATAGGCAACTTAATAAGACTTATGCTACAATTGTGGACCCTGTTGGTTTATCTGGAGGCTTGAGCTTATTTTGGAATGATAAAGGTTAGGTTTGTCAATCTCACACTTCGCATTTTTATGTTGAAACTTTGGTGCATGAGCTCTCAACTGATTTTAAATATTGGTGCATCTTTGTGTATTTGAGCACTGATAAAGTTATTTGTAAAGCACAATTAACATAACTAACGTTAAAATCGGCTAATTGGGGTACTCTCTGGATCATTGTTGGAGATTTTAATTGATATTATGGACAACTCGGAAAAGGTAGGATGTA